CCCCGTCTAAAAACCCCCCCCCTTCTCCTCTTTTCTCCTTTAATAAGATTCTTACTCCCGCCCGCGCCACCTCACTTGCCCAACTTCACCCCCTCCCCCCCCCCCCCTTTTCCCTTCTGAATTCTCCAATGCCCGGCTGCAGCGCTTGTTAAAGCTAATAACAATAAAACACTTTGAGGGGGAGTTCTATAGGTTTTGATTTTGTGCTTGTGTTGTCACTCAATCGGTTGTAGCAATCTTCTTAGAGGCTCCCTGGCTGGCAGGGGTCACTGGGAAGGCTCTAAGGGACAAGCTCCCCGTGCTTTGTTTGATGATAAATGCTTCTTTGTAAAAGAAAAGAAAGTCCGGACAAGCTTGAATCGAATCCTGACTGACTATTCCTTTGATGTCTGGATTGCTGGTTTGCAGTCTGAGAGTCTGGCATAGCAGGCAGTTGTTTCATTGGCGGAAACTGAAGCTGCCTTGCACTGGAAAAGGGGAGGCAACCTTTGGGGTGCAGCTAGTCAGAAAGGTGAGTTGCTGGGTGATCCATAAGTATTTATAGGAAGGGAAGATGGCAACTGCTGGAGATCATCACTCCATCTTGAAGCAGTCCTGGTGGCCAGCAGCTTACTATATGCCAGGATCCAGCACTGGGGATTTGAGTCAAGCGACTCACTTCCAAGTCCGACACAAGTTGCATCAGCAACTCAATGCGGACCCAGTCAGGGAGCAATGCACGAGCGGCTCAACTCAAGATCTCCACACACACACAGCAGAGGCAGCCGGAGGGAGGGAAATTCCAGGGGGGGGGGGGGGGCAGGATGGGGATTTATCTATTTGTTTAAATAAATTGTGGCTGGAGTACAGGACTTCAGTGCATCACTGAGAGAACAACTCTCCCACCTCCCACCCACACCCCACCACCCCCTCCCTTCTTTCTGATAAAGTCGATTTGGGAAGAGACTCGACAGGGAAATTTATTGCAATGACTCGAGATGTGGACTTGACAGTAAAGACCTGAGACTTGGAGAAAAGGACTCGAGCACATCTGGCCAGGATCACGAGCCCGGAGAGGGTGAAGAATTGCTGCACCATCACCTTCTGTGGCGATTCTTGAAATTTAGGGGGTTAAAAGCATCCAGATTGGATTGACCTCTTGCGAACGCTATGCTATGAATGAGCGAAGAGCATTGTAAATGGCGATAACCTACTAGCAGAATGGACACCACGGTCGGATGCAATTCTCCCCATAGTTCCCGTGCACCCCGGATCTTCTCCAGAGGATTCAGAAACTCAGTAAGGCAGATTTGGGGTGCGTGTGGAAGGAATCCCCTATTGCATGAGTAGAAGGCTACCTATATAGTTACAGTGCACACAGATATAAAGAAAGATTTGCCCTAGCGTTCTGTGTGTGATGTACCTTTGGTAATCATTTGTTTCTTCTTCTTTCTTTGGAACATTGGCATTTCAACCCTTTTATGTTCCCAGGAGATATTTACATTCCCAAGTCTCCCTCCTTTCCCTCTGTTTAGCAGAAGTGATTTTCAACCCACAGCAGCGGAAAAGGATTAAATTTAATTTATCAGATGTTTCCACGGTAGCACAATAATTCATTTTCTTCTGCAAGGGGATGAAAGGGCTTCAGCAGCTTTCTGCTGGGATCCATCCTGTTTTATCAACGTTTCGGTCAGGCATGCGGACAATAACACCAGCAGCCGGTATTCGCTCAGCGCTCTGTTTAAGAACCAAAAATGCTCCCACAGAGATTGCTAACAGAATTCGGGAGCCGAGGGTAAATCATGGAGAAACCGAAGCTGATCCTCTGTGCAGGGAGAGCCGAGCATTGACAGGCGAGAAGGAAAAAGGACAGGATAGCCTGCCAGCACCCAATTCCTCCATGTTGCAAATGAAGGAGTTCTTGAACATCTGTCCTTCCAGCAGCCAGACTGCAGCCAGCGGTTTGAATCAGTGCAGGGATGATGTCCAAGTGGGGTCCCGTGTTGATCCCCAGAGCCTCCCAGACGTCCCGTTTCCCCTCCTTTTGCTGCCCCTTTCCAGGCATGCAGTAAACAGGGATTGGGGACGCAGGGCCTCGCTGAGGGCTAGCTGCTCTAACCTTCCCAGCCCAAGATCCAGCTCCCAGTGCTCCCATTGTCAGGCACCTGCCCAAGGCTCACCACTTGCGGGGCTACATCATAGAGAGGCCAGCTGGCCAATGAAAACTGCTACGCCCAGTAAGTTTGCCTTGCACCTTTCTGCAGAACTGTGGCAGGTGGCCAGCAGCCCAGGTGCAGAACTTGGCACCCTGCTGAGGACACCTTTCCTGCTCCGTGCCAGGTCCTGCCACGATCTTTGTGCCAACTTAAGACCTGTTGGTCCACACAGACTCTTGGCTGAATCTGCGTGGCTTTTGTCGTGCCGTCGCTTCTCCCGTTTGCATGATCGACACTGGCATGCTTTCACTGACTTGCCCGTCTGGTAACTGATCATGCTATACTAGCTAATATGGGACAATCCATTTTATAATGGATAGGGGATGAAATGGGTAGCATATTTCGTAATAAATAGCAAATGTTGAAAGTCCCCTGATTGAACAGTGTCATTAGAGTTTTATTTTTTTCTGGTAAAATCAAGAGCCACAAGAGAAATGGCAGGTTGGAGGTCAGGATTGGGACCACCGTAGTTGGTTTTGCCTGCCTCTTTTGTGTAGTTTCTTTATATTTTTGCAAAGGTCACCCCAGGCAAAGGAAAAGACTGAGTGAGTCTGGCTGAATCCTATAGCGACAGACTTCCTCCTCTCTTCTATTTATCTATGCTAATCAGGGCTTGCATTTTGGTATCTAATTCGAACATGCAAAAAGATGTATAAGCATAAGGAGAAGATTGCATATGTCTGTGGAGAGAAGTGAGATCACGGAGGAAAGTGGCAGCTGCATTTCTCCCAGGAAACAGTGCTTAGTATTTGCATAGCAACGATATTATATACGCTATTATTTCCCCTGACTACCTCTGAACCACCCGTGCACAAATAACAGGCTCAGAGGGGCCCCAAAGTTTACAGAGGTTCAAGTGATCTTTGGAGGGGGTGAGTGAAGCCCCCCACCAGCCAACTAGACCAAGCAGCCAGAAGGCAAAGCTGGGAGAGGGAAAGAAACGGAGAGTGTGAAGCCCCAAATGTTGCAGTGCCTGATGCTTCAACATTGTGTTGCAGGGTTCACTCATCTGGCTGCAGTGACAACCCCCTACAGGAAACAGATCCATATTATTTGCACCTTGTCGATGGGGGACAGGTACTGAGAGAAAGCCATTTGTCTCAGATTGCCAAACAGGTACCAGAAATGCCCTTCCTTGTGGGAGAAAGGTGGAAATCAAAGGATGCTGCAAATTAACGCCAGTGGGATAACGGAGGAATGAATTGGAAGCCTTTAACTACTCTTGCATGTCCAAGGTTGAAATCAAAGCTCCCGGTTGCTTTTATGAGCACTTAAGGTACACTTACGCTCCCAGTCCCCACGCACTCCTGCAGCACGGCATTCTTGGAGCAAACTGGATGGCTTTTTCCAAAGCACTTTGGAGACTGCTCTGTAAATAAGAACGCCTTTTTTGTTATAATTAGGCAGCCCAAGCTGAGCAGCATAAAACACACTCCAAGAAGATTAGCGTCATTGCATAGCATTAATCCTGGCTTTAGCAACAGCCGTTTCTCAAACGCATGCCATGTATATTTGATGAAGTGCTGGGCTGGGCAGGGGGAGTTATTTTGCTCAATCTAGGACTTTGTTTTGCCCAGAGGGACACCGTGGCCCCCTCCCCGAGGCTCTTTAAAGGTCCTTGGGCTCAGAAAAAAAGCATGTGTGGCGTGATTGTCTCCATCACGAAGTCACCATCTGGTGCTCCCTACAAATCTGGCCAAAGCAACACCAGTCGCTGCAACGCAAACGTGAAACAGACCCCTCTGGCTGAAGCTGCTCCCTCCAACCTGAGACCTCCGTGCCTGGACCAGGAGCTTCTACACTGCAATCCAGCTGTCTCCGCACAGCTTGCTGCATTAGCATGTGCCTACCTCACTGGGCTGTTGTGACAAAAACACGGGCAGACCTGCATGCGTGGTCCAAGGCAAAGTTACACCAACGTGTGAAGCAATGGGGTGGACTGTACTTGATTGCCTCGTGTGGGGGAAAAATGCATTCTGTGCATGCTAATTTCCTCCGATTTGAGGCCTGCTCCCACCAAAACAACTAAGGGCAATGGATTTTCAGTAGAGTGCCCGGCACATGGAGCATAGTCAACCTGGCACAAGCATCAGCGGCTGGGGAACCTGCGATCTATGAATTATTGTTGTGGTTGTAATATTCTGTACCTCCCAATAGCCAAAGCTCTTTGGGCACGTCACAGTAGTTCTTAAAGCACACACACACAGAGCAAATGCAATGCCATAAAAACAGTGCGCTCTTTCCAATATACAGCATCTTTTTGAAGAAAGAACAGAAGCAGCAAACACCATTTTTCCGGCCAAGCTGGAGCAACCACAGAGCCTGCCACCAAGAGCCTTGAAGTGCCATTGTAAGGGCAGAGAAAAGCAGAGCCGGGAGATGGAGAGAGGAAGTGATGCCAGGCTGGCCCTACTGGGGAGACCATGGCACAGGTGGGTGGTCACCACTGGAAAGGCCCTCACCTTTCGGGCAGCCCCCTGACCCACCCTGGGAAGTGTCCGTTGAAAGCCGTAGAGGGTGCTAGTTGCATGCTGGGTGATTTCGGTCAGGGTCGGCAGGTATTGTGACCTCGGAGGGTATATTAAAGCAGGTTCCCCTCCCAGGCTCCAGCAGGCAGGAATGCAGCCGTTGCAGGGAGACTGCCCCCGTTGCATTTCCACCTGCGATCCCTCTGCAGGTGGCTTGAGGCAGGGGCTCCTGCGTGGGCGAGGGAGGAGAGGAGGGAGAGCCAGGAGGCCGAGGGCGAGCAGGAAGCGCCCGAACCCGCCAGGCCTCCCTCGGACGCGAGGAAGCCTCGGGGTGGCTCCCTGGGGTGGCTTCCCCTGTCGGAGGTCCGCCTGCGTGCAGGCTTCCTCCCTGCACGCAGCGCAGAGAGAGGGCGGCAGGCGGGCTGCGCGGCGAGGCG